CTTTGTTTTAGATTTTTCTATATAACACAAATACAGTTCATAGGGCTAAAGGTGGCAAATTAATAGTTAATACAGTTTATCATTTTCTAGGCTGTGTTTGATACTAATGTTATTCCTGATTGTACTACTTTAGCTAAGGTGACATAATTGTTCTTATCAGTTGTTCTCCCTAGTATGCCAACACTGAGATTGCCTAAGGGTCATAAATAATACTATAGGCCAGTGCCAAAGAATCAGGGGCTTTGCCAAATAGGCAGCAATTTCTCATCTCCAATAAATTGAAGATGTAGGATATTGTGACAGACTCAAAAGCCAGCTACACCTGGAAGGCACTTCTGAGAAGTAGTCATTTCCTAAGGGTTCTTGATTCTAGCAATAAAGATACCTGCTGGAAACAATTTAGAAGCATCAATGTAGAAATTAAACTAAAAAACAAACAAACCAGAAAATGAGAAGACATAGAAGGAAGATGCAACCCCAGACTTCCCGCTTGCCAAAGGCAAATCCATCGGGCAATGAGGTGGAACAATTTGAAAGCCACCCACCTGGACTCTGAATTCACAACAGTGGAAGTAACAAAGCAGATGAACCAGGTTCTAGAAAAAAATCAAATCAGAAATAATTTCTCAGATAATTTCAGAGATGATGACCATAATGAAGGACATGGTTAGTGAATCTAGAGATAGAGAAAATACAGATAAAACAGTAAAGGAGCTTAGGAAAAGAATGAAAACCATGAACACCCAACATAGGAAAGAAATGAAATCCATGAAACAGATTCAGATATTCAGGAGATTAAAAATTCTACTGAAAATATACACAGCAGAATGAACCAATGTGAGATCAGAATATCAGGTACAGAAGACAGAATTGCAATTAGCAATCATGAAAAAAAAGATTTTTAAAAATAGCAAGGAGCCATGAAAAATCAATTCAATAGCTGCTAGATAATGCAAAGAAGAATAACATAAGATTGATCAGCCAATGAAAAAGCAGGAGACATGACAATTCTGCTCACAGAAGTAATGGCAGAAAACTTTCTAAGCATGGAAAAAGAATTTGACACATGGGTAAGTGAGGCATATAGAACTCCAATTAGCCATGTTAAAAGAAAACTACACCAAAGCATATGATAATAAAAATTCCAGAAATCCAACACAAAAACAGAATACTAAAAGCTGTTAGAGAAAAGAAACAAATTACCTGTAAAGTAAAGCCTGGCACTTACTATTGTAGTACTATGGTAACAGGCACTTACTATTAGAAAATTATTTTTTATAACAAATGTTAATTTTCTCATGTTGTGGGGTAAATCTACATCTCTCAGAGGGGAAACAAACATTTTTCCTGTCATTGGCTAAGGGTCTTTCTAATATTGTAATTTATTTTTAAAATTATTTTTATTTTTATATTTTTTTGGGACTGAGGATCGAACTTGGGTCCTTATGCTTGCAAGGTAAGTGGCGGAACTGGAACCACTGAGCTAAATCCCTGGCCCTATTGTAATTTATTTTTACCAGCTGGATGACTGGACCTGATGTTAATTAATATACAATTCCGACTAATCAGGAAAGGGATGGCTTCATCAGTACTTAGCTTGCACTTACGAGTGTGTTAACTGAAGTTTTAGTATTGTTTGATCCCTATACAGGACACTAGCTACACATAAAAACCTGTTTCTCTCTGCCTAGCTTGGAAAGCAAGGTTGTTAATTACCAGAAGTGCACTAATCAGATATAAAGATGGCTCATCACTAAGTCTAGGAAAAGCAAAGCTAAAGTACTTGTCCTAATTTAGAGTCATCTCGGTGGTGATGTTTGTAGTCTAGAGTAACAGGAAGTTCAAACATATCTGTCTCAGGAAGCATCAAACCAAGGTAAGAAAGAAAGGGTTAGTGGAATGGAAGAAATATTTTTATCAGAATAAAATCCCAAACTCAAACCCCACACCTTCAAAACGGTGTGAGATGTCATTTCAAATAAAGAGTAACTAGATGACAAAGGATCTATGCACTCTTATTGCCAAGCTCTGTATCATAGATCGTGAATTCTCAGATATGGATGATGGAAGCACCAATATATGGAAAAAAACCCACAGCATGACACACTGCTCTTCCATATGGAGCATCTTGCCTTTTGTATCTTTTATGAGGCCTACACTGAAGTTTAAACATTTAGAAGAACTTGTCATTGGTTTGCTTTCCTTTTGAGGGTTTGTATTTTACAGATGGTATATATAACTCACTTCTGAGTAATCAAAAAGCTTGTATTTCATATGAAGAAAATGCCATTACATGTATCCAGACTAATTCACCTATAACTTGCATATTCTTTGGAAACTTTTTCTTCCCATGTCCCAGTTTTATTTCCCTTCTAGGTATTTACAGAGCTGTTATCTCTGTCACCAACAATGATCTCCAGTGCTTGGCTTTTCAGTAAAAACAAAAACAAAAACAAAAACAAAAAATCTCTATATTGCTTATTTTCTCTCTTTTTATTCATTTGGATCAAGTTTTCCCACAAACTTATAACAAATCTTAATTTCGAATCTATTCTTGGAAGAAGAATCCTAATTGATCCAAGTATTTTAGATTTCTTTTTCTGGGAACCTTGAAAATAAAGTTAAAGGCTATTCCTCAAATTGTTCATGCAGAAAATATAGTTTTACAGCATCTGAAAAATACTATTAGTAAACTTTGGATACTAAAATCATTAGAAGGTATCTGACCAAAGGACATATAATGTGAAACATGGAAAAGGTTTTCATAAACCACCATCTCATCTAAAGCAAAATTCTTGGCCTGACTCTAATGAGTATCAAAAAAATCCTTTTTTGGCTGCAAGCATTTCTCAGTGGCAGAGCAGTTGCCTAGTGTGCACCAGTGCCTAGCCTGGCGCTGTAAAAAACGAAAACCTTCTTGGTTTCTCTATCCTTGAGGGTGTTGAAAGAAAAAAAAAAAGGGAGTCTGGAAAAAATAAGAAAATCAGAAATGTTAACACTTCTGGGTACTTCCAGGAACTACTGTTTTAATTTAAAGACCCAATCCAAAAATGGGCATCTGAAATGAACAGACATTTCTCAGATGAAGTGGAAGAGACTGCAAATAAACATACGAAAAAATGTTCAACATCACCAGTCATCTAAGAGGTGCAAATGAAAACAATGCTGAGATTTCACCTCACCCCAGAAAGAATGGCTGCTATCATGAAATCAACCAATAAGAAATGCTGGCGGGGCTGTGGGGAAAGAGGAGCCCTGCTCCACTGCTGGTGGGAGTGCAGACTGGTGCAACCACTGCAGAAATCAGCATGGAGATGCCTCAAAAAACTAGGATTAGAGGTCCTCTTTGACCTATACTACTGCTGGGTATCTTCCCAAAAGAATTAAAAGCATCATACCACAGTGATACATGCTCACCCATATTCATAGCAGCACAGTTTGTAATAGCTAAATCTTGGAAACAGCCCAAATGCCCATCAACTGGTGCCTGAATAAAGATGTTATGGTTTGGGTCTAGATGTTTCCTCAAAGCCTTGTGTGGTCATAGGCTTGATCTAGAGTGTGTGAAGCTGGAATTGAGTCATGGTGCAATGCTAGGCTCAAGGGCACTAGGATTAAGGGTCTGAGTGCTACCCACCCTAAATAGTCTGAATAAGAGAAAGGGGCAGGGAGACACTGTTAAACTCTCTTTTGTTGTTTTTGCTGTCTTCCGCTGCCAAGAACTGAAGCTCCCTCTTGATACCTTTGCTACTTTGTGCATGCCATGTTGGTTCTGCTCTGCCATGCCTGTCTTCCCTGCCTTGGAGTCGGCAGATTATGGACTGAAACCTCTATGAACTGTAAGCCAAATAAACCCCTTCTCTTCTAACTTTGGGGTTGGGTATTTTGTCTCAGCAACAAGAGAAAAGTAACAAAGAATATGTGGTCTTATATAAAATGGAGTACTACTCAGCCATAAAGAAAGATAAACTAGGGCTGGAGATTTAGCACAGTGGTGCTGCCACCTGCCTTGCAAGTGCAAGGTCCCCAGTTCGATCCCTGATACGAAAAAGAAAAAAAGAAGAAAAAAAGAAAGATAAACTAGACATTTATAGCTAAATGGATGCACCTTGAGACCATACTCTTAAAGTGAAATAAACAGGACACACATCTGTAAATACTGAATAGTTTCTCTGGTGTGAGAAACTGAAAGTGTCAATAAGGACTAAAAGGTATAATAGATACTGTGAACTAGGAAGAAAAGGTCCAAAGGGGAAGGGGAAGTGGGGAGGGTAGCGGAAAGGAAAGAAGGGAAAGAAAAAAAATAGGAGAAAAGAAGGAAAAAAGTTTTTTGTAGCTAGAGATGGGTGCAGGGGGTGGGAGAGATGGGGAATGGGCAAAACACAAGAAGCAAGATATGCCACGTACAGGTTCAAATTCCCAGTGACGAATGTGATCATAATGCACACCTAAAATGTTCTAATAACCTTAATGCATAATAATAAAAAACTATTTTTTTTCCCACTTCACAAGGAGGCAACTCCACCTAGTGGCTTTTTAAAGCTGGTACAACTCCTCTCTGAAATACCTGTGCTGTTTCAGCGAGCTTAGCCTTATATACGCTAGTATTTACAATTAACTACTGGGAATTGAGAGAGCATCAAGATGAAAAAGAATGTGGAAAACCCTTTTCTAGAGAAGAGAAAGGGCAGTAACAAACAGTAATGAATACAATGTGCCAAGGAGTACCCTGGTAGCTTTTTTGGTTCATTTCTCCCTCTGTAGTCCAGGCTTGTCTGGAACTAGGACAGAGGCTCTATTTCAGCCTCCAGTGCTAGGATTACAGATGCACAGTACCAGTCCTACTCATCTTTGCAGTTTTTGAAGCAAAGAATTGATAGTTTTTCTTTTGGGTCCTTGAGCTTGCGCAGCAGGCGGCGAAACCACTGAGCTAAATCCCCAGCCCTAGTTCGTTTTTAAAAGCCGAGTAGTCTGTCAATTTAGGTTTTCTAATTGCTTTATTTTGAATGTACTCAGCTGCATTAACATGAGACTGGTATTCGATCTGAGTCGCCCAGCAATTGCTCTTCGGGTCGCTGAGACGCAGGTGGCCCGGGTGCCAGTCCCTGCCGTCGCCGTGGCTGCTCCTGCTGCTGAGCGTGGCGCTGCTAAGCGCCCTCGCAGAGCTCCCCGCCGGGAGCGCCATCCCCGTGCAGAGCCGCCTGTTCGTGGACTGCCATGCGTTCGAGTTCATGCAGTGCGTGCTGCAGGACACGCGGAAGACGGCCTACAGCCTGGACTTTCAGACAGAGACCCTCCTGCTGCAGGCCGAGTGCCAGGCCCTGTGTGCCTGCTGCCTGCTGGGCGCTGACCACCCCAGCCAGTGCTGTCTTCTGTCAATAAACTGTGCCCACAAACAGACAGAAAAACCATGAGACTGGTATTCACTGATTGAAGGGCAGAGAATTTAAGACAAAATAGGTTTACTGAGCTTCCAATCTGTACCTCCCAAGGTTTCAGGACACATTTTGAGACAATATATCATAGTATTAGGTCTGTAGGTTTCAGAGCCAAACTGGGTTTGCTGTATAAACTTTGTGTAAAGTACTTCAAACTTTTTGCATCTCACTTTTCTCATGTGTAAAGTGGGCTGATACCTTCACCAAAGTACTACTGAGCAGTAAATGAACTAATACAGAAAATCTCTTGAAATTGCTTCTAGCACAAAGTGTTCAACATTTAATATTAGTTATCATTTAACCTTCACAATCTCCATTTTAAAAGGGGAGCTCACGCCGTGAAGTAGCTTTATAGGTCACCCCCCTAGCTCTTATATAAAAAGATCCAGTTAGGATATGATTGTTGTGTGCCAAGCTAGCAGTTTAAAACCTGACAATTCTGTCAAATAAGATAAAGGAACTTTAGGACACATCTATATTTTTCCTTAAGTAGGAAAAGTACAAAAGTTCAAATTAAAACTTTTTTTTTTTGGTACCGGGAATTGAACTCGGAACTTTGTGCTTGCAAGGCAGGCAGCGGAGCCACTGAGCTAAATCCCCAACCCTCAAATAAAAACTTTTTTTCAACATCTTAAATAAGCAGGACTTCTCAGAAGCGGCGGCACACACTCCAAGCCTAGCACTCTAGGAAGCTGAGGCAGGAGGATGGCAAGTTTGAGCCCAATCTGGGCAAATTAGTGAGACCCTGCCTCAAAATTAAAACAAAAACAAAAAAGGGCTGGGAATAAGCTCTGTGCAAAAGCCCCGGGTTCAATCCCCAGTACGCCAAAAACAACTAAAAAAGTACGCCAGACTTTCATTTGCCATCGCCCCACGTCCCCTCTCCTGTTAAGAGCCTGTTTTGGAATTACCCCAAGGACCGCCCACACCTCCTCGCCCCGCCCCGGGGCCGGCCGCTGATTGGCCGAGACAGCACTCCGCGTGGGCCGGCTAGCACCGGCGCGGTGCCCACCGGGAGCCGAGCAGAGGCGCGAGGACCAGCGCGAGCCTGTCCAGTCCCCCGTCCCCCTTGCGGCGACCCCGCTCCAACGACCGGCCCGGCGCGCTGGCGGTGGTTTGCGGTCGCTGTTGCCCGGGATTTAAATCAACCTCTGAAGACCTGAGGGGTGAGAAGGGGACTGAAGGGGCCTTGGCGGGGGGCTCGGCGGGGTCCTCGCCAAGCCGCTGCCAACGGCGGCTGGTGCGGGCCGCGGTCGTCGGACGGGGCGGCATCGTGGGCCCGGGCCGGCAGGGCAGTCGGTGCCGTCGGTCTTTGCCCGCCCGCTTCCCGCCGCCGCCCACGGTCCTGCGGGGCGTGGGACGGCTCCCTCGGGTGCGGAGCTGGGGCCTCGAACCTTCCTCCGCCGGGACGGGCTGGCGTGCGCGGACAGCGACGGCACGCACGCGCATAGCACGCACGCACGCACGCACGCACGCGGTGCACGTCCCGCACGACGTCTCGGTTTTGCTAAGCGGTTTTCCGCCCTTTCGTCGGGGCTGGCGGGTCCGCTGAAGCCGCAGTCGGGACGGCCTGCTTGCGGCCCGGCGGTGATGCTAGCCGTGAGAGCGAGGCGGACCCCAGGTTGGTTCAGACTTCAGGGTCCCGAGTGCGCTCCGTGTAGGTAGTCCTGACCCCAGCTGCTCCTCTTCATCTCCGAGTGCCGTGGAGCGAAATCAGCGGGAGCCTCTTGAGTCTTGGCTTTTCTTCACCATCAGCCCACTTGGTGTTGAGAATGGCCTGACGACCGGTCGGTTCGTTTCTCTGGACTGACGTACACAGGCCGCTGTGCACGCCTCGGCAGAGAGTTTCTTATTTACTTGACGGGAAGAGATTTTCATTTCAAGTACCACAACGTGTAGTTGGCACTTTCAAGCTTTGATTTGGAGCTGTTCAGAATTAGGTTTCCTTGTGAGCGGTAGTGATATACTTATTTTCAACGCATTCTGTTCTAATCATGTTCGCAGTTATGTGCCATTATAGACCTAAAGGTGCTACTCATGGCACTGCTTCAAATGGTACTTTCTACCTGAAGAAGTTGGAGTATTGGACTTACATATTTAAAATTTTAGTATACTTAGACTACACTTCAATGTTTAAAATATAAATGTGTATTACTGGTATATCACGAGAATTATAACAAGAATATACTCAATTTATGAACAGAAATGAAGCCTCTGATTAATGGTGTCATTTTTGTTGGTAGGAAGCAGACGTGGCCATCTGAGGAAGGGTTGTGAATAGAAATCGAATGATTGGGATAAAGTTTTGCATTTTTTTGCTGAGTATTGTTTCCCTTTTATTTTACTGCTGGATGGTTGGTGAGGTAAGCACGTGAGGGAAGAAAATGTGATCTGTACGTTCAAGTTGTTAGCAGATTTCACTTGTCAGGTTATAGAAGAGTTTCTATAAGAAATAGTATACTTAATTTGGGCAATAATATGTAGATAACTTTGTCTTAAATTCAAAGAACATACATGCTTTAATGTCCCATGCAATATTTCAAATATTTATTATGAATTACAAATTATTTTTTAAATATATTTTTGTGTCATCCTAAATTTTAAATCTGGTTCAGTGGTAATACTAGGTATATGAAACACCTGGTATTAAAACTTTTAACACGTTATATGTTCAACTTCTTGCAATAAAGCACTCTGATTCTTTAGTAGAAATATTATAAAGTGGAATTGAACTGATTGACCTATGCACTTTTATTTCAAAATAATAATTAATTCTTGTTTTCCTAACATGTTGCTATAGTATGCTCTGTCACTATAATAAATTGCTTCTCAAAATCTCTGTTGTTCTGGGAAGCATGATCATGATGTCCCATGCTCAGAAACAACTGAACAAATCAAAAATTTAATATTCATGTAATTTAAGGAATAACCTAAAGAAATAATGTCTTCTATAAAGTTTTTTGATACTTAAAGTTTTTTTCATTTTACATTTAAATTTACAAACCCACAATAAAGTAAATATAATGTTCACTGTCATTATCTTGTAAGTTTTTACAGTAATTTGGGAGATGAAGTTGCAGTTTGAGTCATTAGAATACAGATGCAACAAATTCCTTTAGATATACGATTATCTCCATGTTTTTCTAAAATTGTGCTTGTCGTTTTTTCATCTATTTTGAAAGGCAGTACAAATTTGAAAATTTATTTTTGTTAGCTGAATGTACTTAAAATTAATAATTGTATAGTTAGCACTTTAACGATTTGCTCAGCTTGCTACTTGAATATTCTGTGATTAGCTATGCTATCTTAGCTTTTTCGTAGCTTAATGGATTTTTTTTTCTTTTTCTTTTGAAATTGAGCTAGAGAGGAAGCACTGAAAGACCAAAGTTTAGGAAAAAAGATTTGTCTGTGAAGGCTAGAGTTATATAGGTTAAAAAAACTTTTGACTTACCACTCCTACGTTTGCTGTGCTTTCTTGGACATTTGGGTAGATTAATTTGCAGGTTGATCCTGGAATATTTTATTTATTTATTTATGCCATACTGGGGATTGAACTCAGGACCTTGCTCTTGTGAGACAGGTTGTGGCACCACTGAGCTAAATCCCCAGCCCTCTGGAATATTTAGAATGAATATAAAATATTGTATGATTCTTTTAGGTTCGATTATAATTCTCTGGCTCAGATTCTCGAACTCTAGCTCCTTTAGAATTATGTTTTCTTTCATTAAAATGGTGTTAAAGCTAAGTATTTAAAAACTTATTAAGTGTGCATTTTATATGTGTATATGTTACTTTGGTTTTGGAGAATTTAAGATAAGAACATACTCCTTTCTGAAGAGTGGATGGGATTGGTGACTCGTGTTTTCTATACTTCTGTAATTTCAAGTTTTTATAATATTTTGATTGAAACATTTGAGATGTGCAAAGTTTTTGCATATGTTTTTAGTCATTCTCTGGTAAAATGAGTGTTTAATATGTGGACTGGACTATAACCTATTAACCATCAGGCCCTAGATAGTCTCTCTCTCTCTTTTTTTTTTTGGTACTGGGGATTGAACTTGAGACCTCGCGCTTGTGAGGCAGGTGGCAGAACCACTGAGCTAAATCCCTGGCCCCCTAAATAGTCTCTTTAAAAACACAATTTAGAGACAAGATTAACCTAAAATGTTTATAAGGTAATTGGAGGCATAGATTGAGTTGTAGAAATCAGCCATTTAGAGTTAGCTGTGAATTACAGTAGGAAAAAAGTCCCATTTATTAGATTAAATTCTACATCTTGGATAAAGTGGGAACAGAAGCCATATTTATTGCTTTTATAAGCAATAAGTAGCATAGGTAAAGTAGCATATTAGAGTCTTAATTTTTTTCTCCCACTTTGTTTCTTAAATGTAGATCTCACACTTTCCTGTTCTTCACATAGTATCAACATGATCTTTCCTGTAGTGAGCCAGTAGTATGTCCAGTGGGATGTTGGCGCTCATTTCCCTCTACTGCACTATGTGAGAGTCAGATTTTATGAATTTCTGAGGCAACGTGAGACTGATACAGTGGTGGCGAATCAGTGGGCTGTTTGCATCTTTTAAAGCTCTAAATGTTTGCCATTACTGCTCTGGGGCTCAAGCCCAGTCTTTTCAGCTGCTTGATTTGTAGGCTCTTGCTTGCTTGCTTTTGGTTTCCTGGTGTATAACACCGGAGGTAGTCTATGGCCCACTTGTAGCTGTAATATTTTTTACTCCAAACTTCCAGTGACAGCATAAAGGCACAACCTTGAGTAAAACCAGTTTTGAGTGGAGGAAGGAGGTCACCAGCTTGCACACCCTAATCTGAAATCTGGAGTGCTTTGGGATCCAAACTTGTAGAGCATGGGAGTCAGTATGGCGCTGACCAGAGGAAAGAGCCACACTTGGTCTCTGTGACATACCAAAGTCAAAGTATAGGCAGACTTAACAGTGGTACAGAGGGTGAGTATGAGGTATATACAAATAACCATAAATGAGTTTTGTGTTTAGATTTAGTTCTTTTCTTCAAAATACCTCGTTACGGGGCTGGGGATTTAGTTCAGGGGTGCTGCGCCTGCCTCAAAAGCACAAGGTCCTGCCTGAGTTTGATCCCTGGTACCACAAAAATAAAACAAAACCTCATTATGTATATAACCATATATTCCCAAATCTAAAAATACCTGAAATGCTTTTTGGTTTCAAGCATTTTGGATAAGGAATACTAAATTTGTGTCATTTAAAATGGCGATTAATTTTAATTTCAAAGAAATAAGGTAAAACATTGCATTTTTAAAAACAAAATACTGAAAAATGGTGAGTTTATCCTAATGCTTCTGATTATCATAAATTAACAATCCTTTTATTAGAATTTATTGATAATGTAGTATTTTATTTATTGGATTTGATACCACATAAACTTGTCCCTGAAGTATAGAATAATAAAAGGTAGAGTTGGCTGATAATAACAGACTTACGACTTTTGCCTAGATGAGAAGTTTTTAAATTGCTATTTCTACCATTTAGTATTTGAGACCAATAAGCATTAAAATATAAAAATGATAAAAGAAATGAGATAGTCTGTTGTGTTGAAATGAGCAGGCAAGCAAGAATTGAAGGGAAGAAATAGAAGAAGAGGAAGACATCAGAAGCAAGGCTGTAGGTCAAAGGAAAATTCCGTGAACTTTGGGAAACTGGTAAAGAAGACAGTAGGGAAAGAGGAAGGAAGAAAGAAAGAGAAGAACAGGACAACAACAACAAAACTAAAAACAGTGTTTACACTCATATAAAAATAGGAATAATCAAGAAAAAAAACAAAAGAAGAAAAAAAAGAAAAGAAAAATGTCCATCTCAAGGTGTGTCTCTACTGTCACTGGTAGACACAGTGGGCAGACAGAGCCCAGATTTGTGTTGATTAATCCCAACAAGGCTGCACCTTTAGTTTCACTGAAGTTCAGGCTGGTTTCTGGCTGTGAGTTTGGAACATGATTTGTTCAGCCTGTAACACTACACGTGCCTCCTGCTAGCTTGACCTTGGCTCCCCGAGAGAGGGGTTAAACTCAGCTCCTTGACCTCCTGCTGACTTGAACTTGGTTCTGCCTCACCCTGATATTGGGAGCTGATAGATGGAGGCAGCGTGCAGCTGCTCAGTTGGCCCCTCTCCAAGATGGTGACTGGCCAAGTGCCCTCTCCTGTGAAATTTCTGTACCCAAACGACTCACTAGCCACTGTAGTGCTCTGTTCACTGCTCTGTTCCACTGGTGAGTTTCTCTGTGGAGGTCTCTGGGGTTGCTAGTAGCTACCATGCCTCTGCAGGTTTAAGCTCCTCTTCCCATGCAGTGGGCCAGGATTTAGGGAGAAAGTGCTGCTTGTCACCTCCTTCTGTGTTTAGGTCCCCCTCTTTGAGCTCTCTGTGGGCTTCAGTTTTCACTTCGGTTTCCTGCTGGGTCCTGGGGACCCACTTCCTTACTTCTCTTCCTCACTTTGGTGTGTTCCAGCGTCTGGATTCCAAATGTTGGAGAGGCTGTTTCTCTGCTGTTCACCACTCCATCACCTTCCCAGAAGTCTCAAGTTCGTTCTTCTTTATGGCAGAGAACAAATTGTATATAAATACATTTTCTTTATCCATTCATCTGTTAATGGACATGTAGGCCATTTCCAAGTTTTAGCTGTTTATGAATTGTGCTACTATAAATATGGGTGTGGATGTATCACTAATATGATGTCTTTAACTGTTTCGGGAAGGAAATAACCAGGTCAAATGGAATTTCTAGTTTCAGCTTTTTGAAGAATTTCCATACTGATTTTATAGTGGTTGTACCAGTTTATATTTCTACTAACAATGAAGATGTATCCTCCCTTCCCCCCAGCCTCTCCATTTGTTATTGCTTGATTTCTTGATGATGGCCATTCTTTCTAGTGTAAGATGGAATCTCAGTGTTATTTTAATTTGCATTTCTCCAGCAATGTTGAACATTTTTTCATGTACTTATTGGCCATTTTGAGGCCAGTCTGAGCAGCTTAGCAAGACCTCTTCTTAAAATTAAAAAGCAAAAGGGCTTGGATATAGCTTAGTGGTAAAGCATTTGCCTAACATGCTTGAGCCCCTGAGTTTAGTCCTCAGTTCTGTATAAAATCTCTAGATTTCTGGCTTTTCTGGAGAATAAGTGTGTCATATCTAGGAAAGCTAGATCTCCTCATGGTAAGTTTGCTGTAGTTGAGTAGCCATTGCCCTTTTTAAGTGGAAGTTCTAGTTAAGCACAATCTATACGTACCACTTCTGTGGTCTTGTACTTGTCCTTTGCTCTTTACTATTTCTTGCCAGCCTTTGGTGGGATTTGAGTTGTTTAGTAGATATTCGTGTTTAA